AATAAGGTTGAGTCTTATATTCCAAAAAATACGGTAATACTCTTTCAACATTTCAGAGATTGGCCCTCTCACTACAGATTCAAGGGATTATACTGATCTTGTTTCCACACAATAATTTTTAACATGTTTTGTGTATCTTCATGAAATTTCTCAAGGTTTTAGTAAACATTACAAATCTTTCATAAATGGAAAAAAGAAACCTGGATTTTTATTAAGTATTTTTACTAAACATTTATCTGTGCAGATATGAAGTCAGTGTTGACTGGTTCAAGTACAAAAAATTTTTTAATGTGAGATTTAAAATACTTTATCATCTGAAAATTATCTTAATTTCATTTGCATAAACATCCTAAATAAATATCAAACGTTTTTTTCCACTAAAACTTGAAATTCCAAAGTACTCCTCCAGAGAGTTTCTACTTCTAACCTTTTTATATCTAATTCCTATGTTTATTTTACCATTAGCAGCTAAAGTAGAAACCTGCAAAACATTAAGTAAAGAATCACTGTTACTGCTACTCGACTGTTTATTTGACACCATTAATAGCAAAGAAGCACATGTAGCACAATAAGCAGACATCTCCCACAAAGTTTATTGTAATCCCAGCTCTAAGAACACAGTGGGAGATTTGTTGACTTGTTTACAGTACAATAATTACAAGAACTGTTTTAAGTAATAAAAGTGTGAGAAAATTTTATGATATGGTTCTGCACAAAGTCTGAACCAATCCAATAAACTTGGAATATATTTGGATGTTAGTTATCCTCCTGGAGTGGTCAGGGTATAGGTGTGTAAGTGCTAATGAACATGTATATATATATATATTATTACTATTTATTCATAAATGCTTAATTTTCAGTTATTTTTCTTAAAACATAGAATAATTAATAAAAAAAATATAACAAACAATGATTTATAGTACTTAATATGTTACAAAATTGATTGACTCACATGTCATACTTTCTAAGCCTTGTTTAGTCTCTCAAAATGGAGGGGGGGGGATACAACTTAATTTTTGTAGATTTTGAAGATGCATTTCAGAAAACCCAAAAAATCATCAAGTTACTATAATGTTGCACATAAATCCACTTTAATTTACCTGGCTTTCTAACTAAGCTGGTTAAAAACAAATACCTCATTTCTGTTTGGAGCAATGACTTGTACAACAGACTTCACCATTTCGAACAAAATTACAAGTTTACCCTTCAAGCCAATTACAAACTGTCAGATTATATATTGGTTATAAACATGTATTTAAGAGAAATAGGTATAAATAGATAAGTGGTTTCAAAAGAACAGAGAAATATGAGAGGCTACTCTGGTTGGTTTGCTAAATATATATTGATATCTCAATAAATCAAACAGGTAGGAGGTTCTTATTATATATTTTAATTTGTAAATGTTTGAAATTTGAGTTTCTAATTCATTAACCTCTATAAACATTGTATGGTAGGCATAATGAAATATAAATTCAGCAATAATACAAGAGGAGGAGCCACATGACAAACCAAAAAAAAAAGAATACTTAACATGTTTTTAATATTTTCTTTCCAATTAAGAAATTAAAACCTATATAATATAAAAATTTGAGTTATAAGCTACATTTTGATGCCAATTTTATTGATGCACATTGATAATAATGTTATTTAATTAAATTTTGAAAATAACTAATACATTGTGAAATATGCTCTTTGACCTGTCCATAGCGAGAGGGTTAATGGATGTGGTATTATCAGGCTTACAAGAATCAGAATGTTTGATAGACTAATAAAGGGGAACTTAAAGCTCAAACTAAGTAAATGCCAGTTCATAAGAGAGGAAGTAGACTATTTAGGTCACATGGTAACTGCAGAAGGTGTAAAGCCAGATGCAAAAAATTAGAAGTATGTAAGAACTGCTTAGTACCAAAAACAGTAAAAGATATCCATGCATTTTTGGGATGTGAAGGATTTTATAGAAGATTTATTCTACATTCTGCAATGCTAGTAACACCTTTAACTGAGTTAACTAAGAAAGACGTACATTTCCAGTGACAGACAAAAGGCAAGAAGTATTTATGAAGTGAGAAATAATAAATAAATAAATGATATATAGCAATAAAGAAAGAATAAGTAATTGAATTTGTAAATTGAATATTACAGAAATAATGTAAAAGTTATGAGACACCAAGGTGGAGATATGAAAAAAAAATTGGTTAAAGGCACATATTTCCAATTTTATAATTAAAATTATATAGATGTAATTATATTTAGAAAAAATGATAAAAGCATACACCTAAATTCATATTCTAGCATTCATAAACAGGATGTCTGTTTTCAATTTTGTTTTAATTCGTTACTTATACAGTCTTGGTACTTACATTTTTACTTTTGTGTAAGTGTTATAACTTCCAAACAATGAAAAATGGATTTTGTAACAGGTACAAGAGTTTCGGGGGTCTTCACTAACACTGAATTTGATGAAAAATCTCTAAAATCTAGAGCACACACAAATTGATAGTTTTGGAAAAAATCCAAGGCATGAAGATTTACCATGGCAATATTTAAATGATGTTCATATTGTTGTATTGATTTATAAGTAATCAGTTACTGGCAGGATCATAACTGGATTACTATAGACTCTATCTGTGTTGACTTTAAAAAAACAAACAAACTGAAAACAAACTTTTATGGCAAAACATAATAATATGAAGCATTTATTAAATATTTCGGAATCTTCAAAATTCCATCGTCAGTAATGTAGAGGTACAAAACAAACAATTGTAATTACAACAACATGATATAATTTGTAATACATAAGAAGTAAACATTTGAATATAAAAAGTATAACAAAATAAAATGAAAAGTATATAGCATAAATAAAATAGTTGATATAAATCTATTTTAATTTAACTATTTCATTTGTGCTACATACTGTTTTCTCTTGTTATACTTTTTATGTTAAAATTGTTTACTTCTTATGTATTACAAATTATATCATATTGTTGTTGTAATTACAATTGTTTGTTTTGTTCCTCTAGATTACAGATGATGGAATTTTGAAGATTCCGAGATGTTTAATAAATGCTTCATATTACATTTGTGTTTTTTTTATTATTAAGTTGGGTTTTCCAAAAAATGAATCAATTACAAGCTTTTATGTAATTAATAGACCAATCAAATAAAACACCAACATTTAATATTTTTCCTTGATACCAATGGCTGTTTTTTTATTATTAATTTCTGAAAACATAATAGAGAGGGTTCAGACCCCCCTGTAGATCTGTGGTTACTTTTACAACATTAAATAATAGTTATTAATTTCTAAAAACAATCGGTGGAAGGGGTGGGGTGGTGGTAGTTTTGACTGTCTTGGACCCCTCCCCTAAATCCACACCTAGTTATACAACAATAAAGAATACAGTATTAATTTCTGGAACAAAAATGGCCAGGGATCTAGACTCCCTGGGCCACACCCTCAGATTTGCATCTGCTTATGCAATGTTTAAAAATACAGTTATGCAGTCATAACTTAGAAACATAGCACTATGTAAAAAATAGTAAATTTACACATTTCTTAATATTTAAGTAGCCAAAGAGCTGGTATTTGGTGGTACTAGCCAATTGCCTTCCCTCTATTCAGCAGTTCAAAATTTGTGACAATGGCAGACAGATTTAGTAGCTTTGCAATAACAAAGGCATGAAGAAGAAAAGTTGTAGTAATGGGAATCAAACACGAGACCACCCTCACAAAGCATCCCTAAACACACATGCTCACTATGAGTGTTTGTTTATTTGCAGTTAATCACAAAGCTACACAATGGACTATTGAAACCACTGTTATAAGCCTTCAAACTTACTGCTGAGCCACCATCACCTAATGTATAAGAATAAAGCTTAATAAAGTCAATGCCAATATATATCACAAAGAAAGGAACAACTAGAAACTAGTATAATTAGACAACTAAAATGGTGTTTAAAACCATGACCACAGGCAAATTTCACACATACATGAAAGATTATTTAACATAATAAAAAACAACAACCAAGTAAAAGATGTAAAAAAAACATAAGGCAGAAATTTTGTAAAGTAAGTTACACAAGGAACATGTAAAATGATGGAATCAAGAAAATGTATGACTGCTGAAATATAAATGTCTCGTACAAAAATATCTAAACATACATCGTTATGATCATGTTTACACTTGTTACCATTTTTTATTAGTGGAGTTGGATATTATGAAAATTTAAAAATAAGAGTTAATGATAAATGAAACAAAAAATAAAACACAAAAGAACGTAGAGGATATGTTGAGATATTACCTCTTGGTTGATTCAAAGATATAATTTCATATCTTGACAGTGATTTTAAATCATTAGTAAAAAACAAAAATATAAACAGAAGTTGTGTGCTTACAAAATGTTATTTGTCAATTTTTTTAGCTCAACAAATATTTTCTAGCAAAAACCTTGAATTCTGCCAAAATATATTGAATAATTACAAAATTCTGCAAAAGATTTAAATCCTAGCTTTAACAAATTCAAACAACCATCATGTCAACAAAACATGTGCAAAAAAGCAAAATATGCCATTTATTTCCCCATTCCTATCAGACAAAACTGTTTTCATAAATAAGCACCAAGTGATATATTTGACAACATTCATGTGCAGTAATACATCTGAAAATGAAAATTTAAATTCTGTCCTTTAAATATTCACATACATTAGAAACAAAGGTATAATAAAACTATACTTGAATTATGATTAAAAAAAGAACCATACATATACCTTTGTAGTTTTTTTGCTATAAAAAAAATGAAGATTTTCATAGTGACACTTTACAAACTAAATGTTTCAAGTGTTCCCAATACTTACTTATATAAAGAAACAGTTACAAAATCATAATGTATGATCTTGGTTGTGTATAATTGCTCATAATGAATGTTATTTTCACTTTAATACCATTATTTTTTTTTCTTTTTCAAAAGTGAACTGAATAAAATACAGTTTTTGTACTTACAAAATCGGGCTTCCTTCATTGCTAGAACAGCATTATGTGCACCCTGAACTAAATGTCGAACCCATGTGGCAAGATCCCTGTGTGTTTCCACTCTCAAGACTCTACAATTAACTCCTTGTCTTGTACCAATCCTAAGTGTGAAGCTTGTGACATCTGTAATACCTGGTATTGATATGTTTCCTGGATGGCTTCGAGTTGAGCTTGAACGGACCAACCTATATTAACAAAATGTGTAAGAAAAATTGAGTTTCTTAGAACATTGTCCCACTTACTCCTATATATATATGTATGTATATGTGTGTGTGTGTGTATATATGTATATGTGTGTGTGTATATATGTATATGTGTGTGTGTATATATGTATATGTGTGTGTGTATATATGTGCGTGTGCGTGTATATATGTGCGTGTGCGTGCGTGCGTGTGTGTGTGTGTGTGTGTGTGTACAGTGACTCACACTAGACTCTTGTGTCACCCTAACCCCACTTCACATTGTAAAGAGACCCTATGTTCTAGACCCAGTGGTTAGGTCCCAATCGGAAAGGATTCTCCATGGTTCACTACCCCAGTAGCTTGGAACTGGTACATGGAAAGCTCTCCAATGCTCCACTCAATGAGGGAGAGAATTTGCATAGGCAAGACCAGAAAATGTGCCCAGATCTCCATTGGTCCTTCAGTTTAGAAAGGTCTTTTACTAAAGACAGTGCATTGGCTAATTCTGAAATCCTGTTCTTCAAAGCCAGCTAGAATTAGCCAGAGAAGTGGGCTGAAACACTGCTCTAGTGTTGGTTCCATGGTAGTCCATGGAATGGTTATAAGCTGGATCAAACAAGTACTATAGATATGTATAGAAATAAATAACATGAGGAAATCTCAAATGGTCTTGTGGAACACCTCATGAACACTTACCATTATCCTGGCTTGATACAGAGTTTGGGTAAGTATATCCTGTGAGGCAACACTAGCCACCTAGTGGGATCCTATAGTGATTGTGAGGTGAGAAAATAAATTTGTACACTCACCAGTACATAGATAGAGGGTGGATTAGAAAATATCCATAGATGGAAGTCTAAATCCCTACAGAGACAAGACAACCAAGTAAAGCAGATAGTGGGCAACAAAAGGTGGGGTGGTCCACATGCCAGCCTGGAGAATAGAAACAAGGGTTGTTGAAAAAGAGTAGCTAAAGAATCTGGGAGGTTATGAATCTGATGAGAAGAAACATAAAAGAGCTTAAAATTACCCCTCCCCCACCAAAGAGGGGTATACCAGAAGGATGAATATGCAGATCCATCCTGTAGGTGTCGAAGGAGATAGATCTCTAGTAGAGGAGGGGTCTCAAGGAATGAAGGGATGGTGATTGGAACCCCAAAAGAAGTAAGAGCATGACAAAAAGAACAAATGACCCAGACAGGACAAAGGAGTTTGTCCAATATGGAACAAACATAAAGAGGGGATATGGGAGAAAGATGTGACCATCAAACCTTGCTATGGAAGACATGGGAAGGACCAGCCAGGATAAAAAAGAAGGTAAGTGTTGTTTAAGAGTTTGAGAGAACACTATGGCATAGACATATGAACAATGGTGAGCAGAGACAAGAGGAGTAGGACACACGTATCCAGGGTGAGGTAATACATTGAACACATTGCTAGAGATTTGACAGGGTCTCAGGTAAGAGTGTAGAGAACCACAGTAACATTCCAAGTAAAGAAGAGGATGGGTGGTGTCTGTGGATAAGGAAGGAACAGAATAGGGTAGAAAGGAACAGTAAGGAAAATATCCTGAGGCATCTGGAAAAAGCAGAAATAGGTAGAAAATGCCACCTGATAACCACAGTAGAGCAAACACGTGAAAGAGGAGGTAACATATTACAAATCAAATCAGTCAGGAGGAAATGGTGATGGGAAGAACAATGAAGACAAAAACACCATGTACTCTGGTACATGAAAGAGGAAAAATGGTGACAAGATTGGACAGAAGGAAAGCTACATGACCAGAGGATACAGCTCAAAGGGCGATGGACTGGATAAGTTCTACACGTGAAGATAAAAGTGAAATGAAAAAGTGACATATGAGGTTGGATCAGAAGGGATGGTTCGATGGGAAGGGGGGGGGGGACTTGGACGATAGAAAATGGAGCAATGGAAACCAAGGATGGGATGGCCAGTAGGAGGCCACTAATATGACTCTGCAAGTGGTGTCTTGAAACACAGCAAGGACCAGAGGGAGGAGGCAGAGAGGAGGACAGGCCTATAGAAAAAGGGCCATGATAAGGCACAGGATAGCAAAGGAAAGGAAGTTTGGCTTTAACCCTATGACTAGTGGTGCACTTGATAAATTCATTTCTGCTCATATCAAAAATTGTTGCCGAGTTACATTCAAAATTTAATTAGACCACTTTATTATCAATGTATTTTAATGAGATTAATATTAGCAAGTATGTTATAGTTCAGTTTTATATTATCTTAGTTTTATTCCTATATTTCAAAAGAAACATTGAAAGCCATAAGGAAAACAACTCATTTTGTTGCCACATAATGCATGAGCTATAAACAACTTCAAAGTTTCGCAATGTAGTCAGACAACTGCAGTCTTATACATGTATGTCTAGACAGTAATGTATGTTTACTTGCCCTATTGACATGGTTCATAAATCTTTGGTTGAATGAAGTAGAAACAAGTAATAAATTTTTTCAACCTCTGATGGGTGCCATGCCCATCTAAACTTCCTCTTGAGCTTTACAACTCACATGTACTTGCTTGATATGTTTATTATCATTAAAAATAGCTCATTTTACACTATAATCCAACAATGGTTATTTTGAAATGGCACCAAGTTCTTTAGCTGAATAAAGTAGAAACAAGTAATAAATTTTGTCAACCTCTGATGGGTGCTATGCTCATCTAACCTTCTCCTTCAGATTTACAGCTCACATGTACTTACTTGACACAAGTTTATTGTCCTTAGAAAGAGCTCATTTTACACTATAATCCGACAACGGTTATTTTGAAATTGGCACTGATTTGTCGTCATTGGGTAGATGTAACTGCCTGTAGTATGGTTGGCTGCTTTGTTGATGATAATATGTTATAGTTAGAGAGACAGTTAAATTGTACTATGTTTTACTTTTATATTTCAATTAATTATGCATCATTTGTGTTTTAAAATTCATATTTGAAAGGTTTAATAATTTTTATAAAATAACCAAAGCTTCACCTCATTCTACAAGGCTTACATTACCAAGCAAGTAGAAAAAGATTTTGCCAAAGGCTAAACTAAAGTATCTATGCCATTCATACCTTCTACCCCTCACAGGTAGTTGTTGACTTGTGTTGACATAAATAATAGATGGTAAAGAACAGGAAAGGAACATAAAACATTAAGATTAAATTATTAATTATTATTCTCACTTGCTCCAATCTTTTATGCCCCACTCTATTGCCCTTGGTGATATTTAACTCATGAAACTTTCCACCTACATCAATGTGGCTTCTATCTTGGCACTGTATACAAACAGCTCATTCATATAATGTTATCACTTTTTTGAGACTGACACAATCCAGTCTCTAACACGTGCTGTTAGTGGAGAGGAAAGGTGGGAGTGTGTGAAAGAAGGCAAGTATTATTGGAAATACATTTTGGATCTAAGAAAATTTTAACTTCCAAAACATACCTATCTCTTCTCACACTGATAGCTAGAATCCCAGATTGACAAGGTGAAGAGGCCAGTGAGGGCTTTATCCACACAGAAAGCATCTGTACAGATCATGGATGTGTCAAGAAAAAATTGGCACCCAAGTGGTGGAACTGCACTACATCCAAAACAGGTATGCTCTTCACCCAGAACTTAAATCCTGTACTGTGGGTGAAAGTTTGCCTGATTTATCATAACTATACGCCAGGCCCCAACCTGTAGCCAAAGAATGATGCATTTGGAGCCACCAGAATCATGACAAGAAAGTAAGTAACACTGAAGTGGACAAACCTTCTCCTCAACCCAAAGAAGTTTGAAAGGCAACACCCTAGGCTTGGAATGACGGGATCGTGTATGCCGCACTCAACCTGAGGAAACAGAACTTATCCGGTCTACACTCATCCTCACTCTCCAACCATGTGGGCAAGGTAAATTCCACTTGCCCTCAGAATTATAAGGAGGACAAGGAAAAAAGTGGTCAACCAAGGATACAAGATGGGACCACTCTGCATTCATTATAACGAGGCAACAGTGGACCCTCTTCCAAGAACAATGTACAGAAGAAATATTGATCAAAAAGAAGGGCCACATGAAGAGACGGAACTCTGGACAAGGTGGCAGTAGAGGAACCCATATGTTAGTGGTGTCTCAACTTAACCCCCTTGATATGGAAAAATGAAACTGTGTAATCCAGTGAATCAATATTTATGATCTCTTGGTTGCATAAAGACCATTAAAAGGAACTCTTGTGCTCTCATCCCAAAGGCATGAGGGATTCAAGTGATGCACATATTCCTAGAAGTAAAAGAACCATCCATGCAATGCGAGGAGAGGTGGGTAAGACTCGGGTGTCCTATTCCATAGCATTGAGCCAAATGAGAGTCAGCTGCGCCAAACTGAGAGATGACATGAAAAATAAAAAATACCAAGACTGATGACATACTGAATTGGAGCAAAAACAGTTGTCTCAGCCCTGAAAATGAAGCCTGCCTTGGTTGTTTCAGAAAGTAGAATCAGGATGTGATGTTCTGACAATTTGAGGAGAAGGTGCCAGCAGTAACCAGTCATCCATAGAATAGTGTGTATACAGTGTGAGGGAATGGATATGACAAGAAAAAACTCATATAATACAGTAGAATCCATGTGAAGCCGATGAGAGTCTAAAGGTAAAAACCCAGAACTGCAGGACCTGGCCCTTGTGCACAACAAATGCTGATAGTGGTGGGACTCCACCACTATGGCAATGTGCAGATAGAAGCCGACTACAACAAACTTGGACATCTACAATCCCAGTAAAAAATATCAACTCAAATTGAGGGATAAGTAACTAGTGAACCTTGGATAATCTAGGCACTGATATAGATGAGAAAGATCAATGGCTGGACACCAATCTCCTGTCTTCATATGCCCAACTACTGACACAAATAAAACCTCGGAAGAACTAGCACAACTCTCTCACTAACTCCTAAACCAACCAAACTCAGATAGCCTTAGAACTTAGTTCCAAATCCTGATGATCT